TCAACTTTAAACAGAGATTTAAAAAAATCTTGCTTAAAAGAATTAAAAATCATCAGCTTAAAAATAGAAAAATCTTAAAGGACTTTTGAAATAGGTTGTCAAGAAGTTGGGTTAACGTTTGTTTTAGAATTTTTTTTTTTTTTTTTTTTTTTTACTATTAAATACGTTATATTTTATTTTTTTTTCTTAAATGTATTTTATTATTCAACATCTTTTTTTTTTAATTAAATCTTTATTGTTCAGGTTACATTTGTTCCTCTTTTTTTCCCCCCCATAACTCCCCTCCTCCCAGTTCCCGCCCCACCCTCCGCCCTCACTCCCCACCCACTGTCCTCATCCATAGGTGCACGATTTTTGTCCAGTCTCTTCCCGCATCTCCCATTCCCCTTTCCCCCCCAAGAATAGTCAGTCCATTCCCTTTCTATGTCCCTGATTCATTATAATCACCAGTTCATTCTGTAAATCAGATTATTTATTCACTTGATTCTTAGATTCACTTGTTGATAGATGCATGTTTGTTGTTCACAATTTGTATCTTTACCTTTTTCTTCTTCCTCCTCTTAAAGGATACCTTTCAGCATTTCATATAATACTGGTTTAGTGGTGATGAACTCCTTTAGCTTTTCCTTATCTGTGAAGCTCTTTATCTGACCTTCAATTCTGAATGATAGCTTTGCTGGATAAAGTAATCTTGGTTGTAGGTTCTTGGTATTCAGCACTTTGAATATTTCTTGCCATTCCCTTCTGGCCTGCAAAGTTTCTGTTGAGAAATCAGCTGACAGTCGTATGGGTATTCCCTTGTAGGTAATTGAGTCTCTTTCTCTTGCTGCTTTTAAGATTCTCTCTTTGTCTTTTGCTCTTGGCATTTTAATTATGATGTGTCTTGGTGTGGTCCTCTTTGGATTCCTTTTGTTTGGGGTTCTCTGCGCTTCTTGGACCTGTAAGTCCATTTCTTTCACCAGGTGGGGGAAGTTTTCTGCCATTATTTCTTCAAATAGGTTTTCAATATCTTGCTGTCTCTCATCTTCTGGCACCCCTATTATTCTGATGTTGGTACGCTTGAAGCTGTCCCAGAGGCTCCTTACACTATCTTCATATTTTCGGATTCTTTTTTCATTTTGCTTTTCCGGTTGGGTGTTTTTTGCTTCTTCGCATTTCAAATCTTTGACTTGATTCTTGCGCTCCTCTGGTCTGCTATTGGGTGTAATATTCTTTATTTCAGACCATGTATGCTTAATTTCTAGTTGTTTCTTTATCATAGCATCGAGGGTCTCATTAGTTTTCGTGAGGCTCTCCAAAAGTTTATTGCAAGCCCTCAAAATTGCGTTTTTTAGCTCTATATCCTCCATTTCTGTCATGTTTTTTTGTCTCCGCATTTTTTATGCTTTCTTGGTGCACCCCCTAGTGGTCTTTGTGCGCAGTCTTGTTCTAGTTGAGCCTTGATTGTTGTAGTTAATACTAGAGGGATTTGACCACCAGGCCGACTGGCTGTGTGAATCAGCTGTGTCTGCCGCGGAAAACTTCTGTCCTCTGGGGAGGTGCTAATCTAGCCTTTGCCTGAGGCGATCCGGCAAATGGCTCTGCGCAGGGCTTGGGCGGGGCGGGATCAACAGGGCGGACGGAGGGAGCAGTTATGGCCGCTCTCAGTCCCGTTCCCAGAGGCTCTGCTTCTCAGAACCCCAGGAACCGCTGCAAACCTCGGAGCGAAAGCTACCTTCCAACTGATGCCAGACAATCCCGCTTCTCCCGTTTGAGTCCGAGTCCCCAGCGATTCGCCCAGATCTGGGGCTCAGAGTCTGAGACTCCCTCCTGATTGAAAACAACAACCGCGCCCTCAGCCACCAGCCCGCTTTGCGCGCGCACCTCCGCACCTGAGTATTTTCCACACTGCGCCTCCTCTGAGCCTCGGTGTGCTGTTATTTTTCCTTCTAGTTGAAGAGTCTCTCCTCAGCCAGCCTTCCTGTGGTTCTGGGTGATGTCCGTTCCGTCTTTTAGTTGTATTTTTGAAGTGGTTGTTTGCGGCAGCAGTCTCCGGTGTTTACCTATGCCGCCATCTTGGTCTCTCTTGTTTTAGAATTAGAAATTTGACTTGTACAGCTGTTTCCATTTTGATTGGGAATGAATTATTAATATGAATGGAAAATTAAGAATGAGTCACAGATTCTTACTTTGAAAAATTTCTTAGGGAATTTTTTTGTTTTTAACCTTTAGCTGTGAGATAGCAGAATGCCAGAGAAGTGGCAAGGATTTTTGGAAAAAGCCAAAACAAAAACATTAGTGAATAACATTTCTAAGTGCTGACTGAGATTCACAGGTAAAATGAAATAACCAGTACTGGAAAATTGTGTTTTCGTCATTTGGGATAGAGCATGAGGCTAAGTGTCTTCCACCCATTTGGAAATTAATTTTGAGGTTCTAAGCTCTGCCCGGAGGGCTTGTATGAATTCTGTTGCTTTGGCCTTATCGTAGTAACTAGAGATTGACAAATCATAACTCTTTTAATTTGGCTTAATTAAAAAAATGTTAAGGGCCTCCCATGTGCCACATACTCTGCAAAATCTTGGGGATGCCAGGGAGATGGTAATGTGGTTCTTGCCCACAAGTTGCTCATAGTCAAGTAGGATAAATGAAGTTTCATTTATGGATGGATGAGGCCGGTAGAGATGGCTGTTCTGATGTACAATTATGTATGCATTTAATACAAATATATGTTATATATCCCCATATTTAGTAAGTTACTAAATTATTTGCTATGTAACAAATTGCCATACACTTATAGCTTAAACCAACACCCATATATAGGCTGTCCCAAAATTCACGCAAGAAGTAATTTTGATAGAAAACATAGGTTTATAATTAAAAATTGTAAATTTTTTATTGATTCATAAAGTATACAGTATAGGGTTATGTATGGAATTAGCACATCGGGTAAATGGCCTCCACGGCTGGCTTTGCTGGCACATACGCAAAGCCGTGGTCTTCATTGGTCTTCATTGTCCCTGCTCCTGGGCCATAATTGGTACTTGGTAATGCTTATCAAATTGAAGGGATTGAAATCAAAGGGCAACAGATATTAGAATCTGATTCAATAAACCAAGTAAAATTAGGCTTTTATTTTATTTTTTTGTTGTTAATGCTCACGCAAAATTCAAATCTTGCGTGAATTTTGGGACACCCTATATTACCTCACAGTTTCCATGGGTCCGGAGTCTGGGTATGGCTTAGTTGGTTCTCTGCTCAGGATCTCAGAAGGCTGCAGCCAAGGTGCTGGCCCAGCTGTGTTCTCCTCTGGAGGTGTGAATGGGGAAGAGTCCACTTATAAGCTCATTCAAGTTGCTAGCAGACGCCATTTCCTTGTAGGTGGGGGATTGATGTCCCTGTTTTCTTGCAGGCTGTCAGCTGGGGGCTTGCTCTCAGATCCTTGCTATGTGGCTCCCTCACAAGCCCTGTCATGACATGGCAGCTCACTTCTCTAACTCCAGAAAGTGAGTCTTACTGTCTAGTCTGCTGAAGTGGAGTGGTAAATAGCATAACCGAATGAAGGGAGTGACATCCAATTATTTTTGCCATATTCTGTTGGTTAGAAGCAAGTCACAAATTCTGCCTGCACTCAGGTGGAGGGGATTATACAAAGGTGTGACCTGTTGGGGGTCACCTTAGAATTCTGCCCACCTCAGTACATTTCTGGTTGTTCCACTGACTTGTGTTCCCAAGAAATCTGATCATAATTTAAATGCCAGGAAGACTGATGGAAGCGCACTCCCCGTTGAGAAATAAAATCTGTTATCCGGCAAATCAGAAGTGGATTGTTTTCTTCCCTCAGTGGTTAGAAAACAGGCGGAGAAAATAATGCCTGTAGGTTCACAATATTGATAGGAAGGAGTTACACAAAAATAGTGAGGTGTTTGGCTCTTGTGTTTGGGGTGGACCGCCACAGGAATCTCACAGTATCCTCTGGCTAGACGTAGTCATTTTTAAAATCTGGATGTCTTAGCATTGGCTGATCACTCAGGAGTGGCATATGGCAGGAACACGCTTTGAGGGACAAGTCTCCTGGAGAGTACACTGCAGCACACAAGCTGGACAGATGGTGGCTTATTCAACCTTGGACAGGAGTGTAATCCTACTCATTGGCAGGCGGCGGGCTGAGAGGTGCTCGTGGTATCTGAGGCAGAGCTGACTTGAGTTTACCTGAAACGGCTTTGTAAGGCATGAGGTGGTCACCTGATGTGACCTGGATGGCTTAGTGCTCACAGAGTCTACTTATCAAGTTGGGATGAGGATGCTGGTGACAGATTGTGTGACCTGGAAGTGGACAGAGTCTGGAGCACTAAGTGGAGGACGTTCTACTAACAGAGTGTAGGGCAGGTGTAAAGACAGCCTTGTAGATAGAATCACGGATGTTACCACCCTAGCTAGGTCTTCACTAAGCAGGGGTCGGTGTTGCTCTCACAAAATTAAATATGCATTTCATGGGTGGAAAAAGGTACGGGGCTGGACCTGCCTTTCTTTACCATGAAGGATCGGTGGATCGGTGTGTTTGCAAGATAATTTGGATTGTTAAGAAAGAGAATGGTCTTTTCACAGCCATAGTTAGAATGTTTATGATTAAAAAAAAACAACCCCCAAATCCAATTAGGACATCATCCATTATTTGTTTGTGGCCCCTCATTGAAGAAAAGGACTGTGTGTTCAGAAGAACAAGTGTGGATCCTTTGATTGGAAGATGAGAACTCGGTGCCCCTGTGGCTGCTGGAGAGCTGACGACAGGGAGATTTTGTTCCCACTTCAGTCACATCTCTTACCCCAGATTTTTAATTCAAATTCCCTCCTCCTTTTCTTTAATATTTGATGCTTATTTTTGTATTCTTCATTTATTCATTTTTGTATTTGTGCCTTTAATTGTGGCAGTCCTCACATATTTTTTGGAACTTGGGGAAGGGGCTGTACTAAGTGAAACCAAGAAATGGTTCACTGAAATTCTTTATTTTTCCTTTTAGCAGTTCAAGTTCTACATTTGTAACATCATCCACTTACAAGACCATTTCAAGAACTGACATCAGTTTTCATACAGCTTAAAAGGTGAGTAGAACTTAAGTCTCTTCTTTTTTAAAACAAAATTTTAAATTGATTTTTAGAGAAAAAGAGAGGAAGGGAGAGGGAGAGAGAAAAACCATCGATTGGCTGCCTCCTGCATGTCCCCTCAACACGGGCATGTGCCCTCAACACGGGCATGTGCCCTGACCAGGAATTGCATGTGCCCTGACCAGGAATCGAACCAGTGACCTCTTGGTCCATGGGATGATGCTCAACCAACCGAGCCACAAGGGCCGGGGCCAGACTCTTCTTTTTGATAATGTTTGTGAAGCAGACCTTGTCCCAGCACTAACCATTGAGATGGTGTTCTTCTCAAGAAAGTTGCACCAACTTCTAGGTGTAAAAACTACTAGCAGTTTTTTCTGATAGGAGGACAGTTGTATGATATCAGATTAAATATGACCTTTTTGTTGAATACACAAGCATATTCCCAGTGGGCCGGAATATATATTAAATATTTCTAGATTTACTAAAATACCTGAAGAAAAATAATTTTACTATTTTGCTGAGCTTGAGCATTTAATGCCCAGACACAAGGGATTCTTTATTTCTCATTCTAAGTTTTTTGTTTTGCTTGGTTTCTTACTTCATAAATGGAATAATACTATGGTTGCCATGAGAAATAAATGAGCCACGCTGCTTAATACAGCACTTGGCATATAACACACACTGAATACATGTCAGTTCCTTTCTCTCAGCTTTGTGACATCAGGCGAGCAGATTTTTCTTTGTATCGGTAGTACACATGGTCTGTACAATGAAGTGGGGGTTGACCTCCTAATTTGCTGCATTTGGTTTTATGTTTTTTGGAGGGTGGGGTGTAAGTGGCTGGGCGTTGGGGTTTCTGGAACTAGAAGCTTAGATAACCCCTATGTGTTTTGGTTATCTCTGGACATCCTCAGACTCCAAGCCTACATCGGAGCCAGCCCCAGTGGGGACAGTCAGGAGGGTGCCAGGCGCATCCTGCCCCCCTCAGCCTGCCCGCCGCCAGCTTTTCACCTGAGGCGTGCCTCTTCAGAGCTTTGTGCCTCTGTTTTTCTCAAACTCTTAAGGGATTTCAGTGATTCCTGTTCTGCCCAATTACCAGGCTGTGGGAGCCTCAAATGGAGAAATATTGAGAGTCTTCAGGAAAGTAAGAAAGGCTCTAAAATATAAGGCGTAACTTTTTCCTAAATTTTTAATGTGCCAGGTGTAACTCACTGTTTATGCTCAATCCCTTACTAGAATGTAAGCTTTGTAAGGTCAAGGACCCCCCCCCCCACCCCCCAACACACACACACATTTCTTTTTTTCTAGGGCCTAAAACACTTCCTGGTACACAGGAGGAGTTCAATACAACTTCTGTCAAATGAAATGAATTAATGAAGATCACTCCTGGAGGCTCATTTAGCCTTTTTATTTGTGGTTGCTGTTGGAACTAGATGAGGCGATGGGCGAATCAGGAGGCATTTAATGTGCTTCCTCATTGAGGCACACGGAAACCTGAATTTCAATGGAGTTTTCACAGTTTGGAACCTTCCTAAAACTGTAGGTGCTGAGGAGCACACGGCATGTAACACACCACCCTCTCAGTCAGTGTTGGGTGCAGTTCCTCTGCGTTGCTGCGTGTGTGCAGTTCACGTGTTTCTTTCCTGAGTGGATTTCCCTGCCAGACACCGGAAGGCTTGGAGCCCATTCAGTGGGCTCGCTCAGGGTGGGTGGTAAGCTTTCATGGTGCATTCGGGCTGCGCGCCTCACGGATGCTTAGTGACTGATGAAATACTTCCCATTCGTGTGATTCTTGATTACTTGACAGGACGCCATGATGTGTGAGAATCCCTTATCTTCCCTGGCTTGGTGAGTGTTGATGAGCTGAGTGTTGATGAGCTGGGCTCTTTTTCTTCCATAACTTGGCACACCCACCACTAACTTTAAGTGGAGGTGGCCTCTCATTTTTACCAGGGCCCAGAGAGTGTGGGTGCTCTTTAATTTCTCTTTCATCATCTCAGATATAGTCCTTTTTGACTCTACCCACCAAACACTAAAACTGTCTTCAAGTAGAATTTTACTGAATAACTAAATACACCACTGGATTATGCCCCTAAGGACTGTACAGCTTGATTTACAAAATTTCAACAAAAGTAGAAATAATTCTTGCAAATTACATAAGTACCTGATTTCCCCCATATATGGGGTTACTGCCTCTGTCAGCTATTTTAAGCAACTTTCAAAATTGGTAATGGAAAACTTTTTTTTTCTAGCTACATTACTGTATATGGATTTTAAATACAAAGGTACAGTGCTCCTCTGAACATCAGCAGTTAGAGAGCAGATCCTGTCTGCAGAACTGCACGCCGCTTTGTGCTTCTCAGGTCATTTTCTTTCTCTCTTTTTAATTAATCCTCACCCGAGGATATCTTGATTTTTAGAAGGGGATGGGGGAAGGAGGGAGGGAGGGAAGGAGAGAGAGACAGAGAGAGAGAGAGAGAGAGAGAGACAGACATCCATGTAAGAGAAGAGAAAGAAGAGAAGAGGGGAGGGGAGGGGAGGGGAGGAGAGGAGAAGAGAAAGAAGTGAGAGAGGCACATTGATTGGTTGCCTCCCGCACGTGCTCCCACCAGGGCCCGGGATCAAACCTGCAAACCTGCAACCCAGGTGCATGCTCTTGATCAGGAATCGAGCCCTTCGGTGTGCGGGCTGATGCTCTACCACCGTGAACATGGGCCAGGGCTCAGGTCATTTTCAAGCTCCTACTGGGATTCTGAGATGTTTTAAGAATTTTGCATGTGTAAAGTAGGTTCTTAGAGCTGACTGTCCTGAAATTTATAATCGCTCTTTTAGTTGTGGTGGAGTGCTGGTGCTGTGACTCAGTTGAGCACAGAGCTGCTGAATGTAGGTGAAGAAATCATTATTCAAGCTTTTGCACGATTTCTTGTCCTATTCATGAGAGAATGAAACTTCAGACTGAGAACTGGTTGGCTCCCAGCACAGACAGGAAAGGGTTAGGTGGGGAAAATCCACCTCTCTTTTGTTTTTTCCCCAAGGTCCTTAAGGGACCTGAAGTGGATGGTGAGGACCAGGGAGCCATTTGAAAATCAGCCTGAGACCTGTGGTTCCTGTGGGGAGATGCTCCAGCAATTAAAAAATAACCTTAGGCCCAGCCGGCATGGCTCAGTGGTTGAGTGTCAACCTATGAACTAGGAGGTCACGGTTTGATTCATGGTCTGGGCACATGCCCAGGTTGTAGGCTTGATTCCTAGTGGGGGACATGCAGGAGGCAGCCGATCAATGATTCTCTGTCATCATTGATGTTTCTATTTCTCTCTCCCTCTTCCTTCCTCCCTGAAATCAATTTAAAAAAAAGAATAAAAAAAACCCCTTAGATATAGATATAGTGCACCCCTGACCTGGATTTCCTGTATTTGCATTAAATTTAAACTTTTAAGGTAAGTCAAAGAGGATCAGTGGTGCTGGGAGAAGTGCCACCTTTGAGTGTAAGTCCCTGATGTCTACAGCGGCACATAAAGTAATGCTTATTTTCTCTGGATGTGTCCTTGGTAGTGTACAATTAAATAGATTAAACCATGAAAATGCGGTCAAACAGACACATTCCAAGCTGTGGTATAAATGACCGAATTCTGCTGGGGGTTCCCAGCCTTGAAGGAGGATTTAGACCAGGGGTGGGCAAACTTTTTGACTCGAGGGCCACAATGGGTTCTTAAACTGGACCGGAGGGCCGGAACAAAAGCATGGATGGAGTGTTTGTGTGAACTAATATAAATTCAAAGTAAACATCATTAAATAAAAGGGT